AGAACAAAAATCATCCCTATAGCCTATTGTAAGTCACTCACATCTACACATCAAGGCTTATAGGAAGAGAAAGTTGTACCATCTTGTTTTTGATTTGATAATCTCTTGAAAGAAGAGATTGTTGTGGCATTGGCAATTGAAGATTGTCAAGGTTGTACGGTTTGCTTGCGGGTTGCAAGTGCTTGCGGTTTTGCAAGTGGAAATAGTGGAGAAATCTCAAGCGAGGCTTGGGGACTGGATGTAGGTCTGGAGGACCGAACCAGTATAAATCCTTGTGTTTGCGTATGCAATTTTCTGTGATTGTCTACATATTGGTTTGATCTTTCTTACTCTTTGTGATATTATTTTATTGAAATTTAAAGTTTCCGCATTAGATTTCATAAACACTATTCAACCCCCCTTCTAGTGTTTGAGTGCCATTGCAGCGATCCTTCAATTGGTATCAGAGCGGGTTGATCAAGGATAACAATGGCTACACCATCTACATCACAGTTCAAGGAAGGACATTCTACTCAAAGACCACCACTTTTCGATGGTTCCAACTACAACTACTGGAAGTGTAGGATGAAGATCTACCTTCAATCGATAGGATTCGATCTCTGGAACATAGTGGAGTCTGATTACAACAAGCCTACTACTCCATACTCTGAATGGACGTTGGTGGAAAGGACAAATGTGAATCTTGACGCCAAGGCAACGAATGCATTGTTTTGCGCAATGGATAAGAATGAATTCAACCGCATGTCTACTTCCAACACCACAAATCAAATCTGGCACACACTTAAGGTAACCCACGAAGGAACTTCTAAGGTTAAAGACTCAAAAATTTCTGTTTTAGTGCACAGGTTTGAAATGTTCAAGATGAAAGACAACGAGACAATTGGTGAAATGTTCACAAGGTTCACCGACATCATCAACTCCCTAATTGCGTTAGGAAAGGTCTATACACAAGTGGAGATGGTTAGGAAAATCCTCCGGGCTCTTACTTTGGATTGGGAGAAGAAGACTACCGCGATAGAGGAAGCCAATGACCTCTCCACATTGACAGTAGAAAATTTGATAGGGAATTTGATGGCATACAAGGTGCAACTTGAAGATCGGAAAAAGGATAATGAAGATAAGAACAAGAAGGTTCTTGCTTTCCAAGCATCTACTGATGATGAGGATTCCGATGACGAAGAAGAGTTTGAAATAATCACACGCAAATTCAGAAAATTCTTGAAGAAAGGTAAGTTCTCTTCTAGTAAATTCAAAGATACTAACAAAGTCACTTGTTTTGGTTGTAATAAGCCAGGACACTACAAGAAAGATTGTCCCCTACAACAAAAGTTAAAGTCGAAGTCTTCTAACAATTTCAACGGGTTCACAAAGAACAAGAATGAACAAGTGAAGAACAAAAAGAAGAAGGCTTTGTCGATAACATGGGATGATAGTGACCAGTCATCTTCAGATGAAGAAGAGGAAAAAGAAGATCATCAAGCGAATATGTGCTTTATGGCAAATGAATCTGATGATGATCAAGTAAGTAATCATGATGAGTTACTTGACGCATTTAACGAATTATTTTTGAAATACAAGCAACTAAATTCTTCTTTTAAAATATAAAAAAATGAAAATGAAAATTTGAATAACACTTTAGTCTCTCCTTATGCTTCATAAATAGAAGATCTTAAAGAGAAGAATAAAGAGTTATTTTCTGAAAATTACAAGTTATCTAGTAACAATCAACTTCTTAAAAAAGAATGTGATTTCTTTAAAGTTCGTATTTCAAATTTGGATGATAATGTTAAAAGTCTTAAAACCAAATATGAAACTATATCAATGAATGTAGGTAAATTTAACAAAGGAAAAGAGAATCTAGATAATCTACTTTCTTATCAATTACCTGCTACGAGTAAACAGGGATTAGGATATGTTTCTAACTCCAGTAATGAGAAAATATACTCTTCTATGCAAAAGAAAAATCATGCTTATTTATATTCTAAATTTGTGAAAAGTAATTATCATGCACATAGTGATACATCTATGCATGCTAGTTCTAAGGTATTTTCACATAATGATAGAAAAATGCATATGAAGAAAGTTGCATGTAAGAATATTTTAAAATCCAACTACATTTGGGTTCCTAAAAATGCATGTTTAAGTGATAGAAAGATATACTTATCAAATTACAAAAAGGATATTTGTGATTCTAAAAACTATCTTTCATACAATGTAGGTAAACCAAATTCTTATTGGGTTTGGTTTCCTAAATGCTAATCTCATGGACCCAAAAGTTAAAGGGTACCAAAACATATTTCTTTTATTTTGCAGGTACCTAATAAAAAGGAAAAATGGATTTTAGATAGTGACTGTTCCAATCACATGACCGGGAACAAGGACTTATTCTCTTCCATACAACTTAAAGATGGAGGAACTGTTACCTTCGGTGACAACAACAAGGGTCAAGTGGTAGGAATTGGAACGGTCGGTATGAACTCTAAAACTCTTATTAATAATATGTTTGATATGTTTGCTTTTGCTAGTTATTAATGAACAAGTATGTTTGCTTTTGCTTAATGAATTTTATTTTTAGCAAATATTCTTGTTATTTATCTTGGTTAACATAAGAGAAATGTTTCATAAATTTTTGAACTCATATTTTAGTTATTCTAACCAATTCTTAAATAACTACTTGATGGTTAGTCTCTAATAACTACTTCCATGGTTATAAATAGAGAAATATTTCTTCTTAAACAACACAATACATTCAATATGACTCCCATAGAAAACTTAATTTTCATTGCAAGCTTATGTCTTCCTATTTGGATGGGAGATGTAATGGACTATGTGCATAATCTTGAAGATTTATTTGAAGTTTTAGGCCATGTTGAAGAAATATTAGGTTGTATTGAAGAAATGTATTAATTGTTTCATTATTTATTATTATCTCCCTTTCTATTCTTCTTTTTGTTAATGACAAAGGGGGAGATATATTAGAATATTGAAATATTGACAACTATTGCAATATTGAATATTGACATGTATGCATTGTTATACAATATTAGGATTACTAATAAGTGCTATCTTTTTGTGTGTTAAATTAATATGTATGCATTGTTGCAGGGGGAGTAAGTATGTTTAATTAAAGTTTTTCAATATTATATGTCATCATCAAAAAGGGGGAGATTGTTGGGAACATGGTTGATGTTACAATATCTCTTGTATTTTGATAATAACAAATCATTGTTTATCTAACATATTTTACTGTAGATTCAAGATATACATCTCAAAGCAACAATCAAGTTATTAAGGCTATTTCAAAGACAAGATTTCAAAGATCAAAAGATGAAGTTAATCAAGTCACTTCGCGCTTCAAGAAGAAAATATACTTTACAAGAGTGATGTAATTTTGTCTTTTCTTTTAGAATCTTTGTACAAGCCTTGATCACACACACAACACACACTACTCACTTAGAAGATCATAGAAAATATTCTAAGTATAATCCTAAGTCTAATCAACGAATGAATAACATTTTAAACTATTGAAAATATGTATAACATAGTTTCTGGCCGACCAAAGAAATGTCTGGTCGACCAGATATAATAACCAGAAACAGAGATTTAGAAAAATCTCTATCTGGTCGACCAGATATGGACCTGGTCGACCAGAGGCTTCAGTCTCGACCACAGAATTTACAGGAAGCATGTCTGGTCGACCAGGACTGAATTTGGTCGACCATACAAGTTCCAGGAAGTCTGTCTGGTCGACCAGGCCTCAATCTGGTCGACCATACAGACTTTCTAACTGACATTTTTTCAAAATAACATGAATGTTTTATGAACGTTTTGGCAGTTATTTTTGAAATATTTTGAACTAAACTTGTGCCTATAAATAGGTGTTAAGTTCTGAAGTTAAATAAGAAGATTCTTTTCCATAAACTTGAGTTTTTCTTGAGTTTTTAACTCCATTTTTGAAGAGAAAAACTGAGTGTTATTTTTAGTTTTGTTCTTGATTAAAACTCCATTACTCTAGAACAAAAACCATTCCTATAGCCTATTGCAAGTCACTCACATCTACACATCAAGGCTTATAGGAAGAGAAAGAGTTGTACCATTTTGTTTCAGTTTGATAATATCTTCAAAGAAGAGATTGTTGTGGCATTGGCAATTGAAGATTGTCAAGGTTGTACTATTTGCTTGCGGGTTGCAAGTGCTTACGGTTTTGCAAGTGGAAATAGTGGAGAAATCTCAAGCGAGACTTGGGGACTGGATGTTGGTCTGGAGGACCGAACCAGTATAAATCCTTGTGTTTGCGTATGCAATTTTCTGTGATTGTCTACACATTGGTTTGATCTTTCTTACTCTTTGTGATATTATTTTATTAAAATTTGAAGTTTCTGCATTAGATTTCATAAACACCCCCCCCCCCCCCTCTAGTGTTTGAGTGCCATTGCAGCGATCCTTCATGCTTCCCTGAGGGTAGAGGTATTCAAGGTTTATCAAAGGATATATGAATGATAGAGCTTATGTGAAACCTCTGACTCTGTTCTCTGGGATTCTGAAGACAAAGGTTTAGTAAGAAAAATAAATTAAACTTAGTTTTTATTGTTTGGTCATCAATTGTTGCCTTTTAAGAAAACACCTGCTGAAAATTATATGAGTTGTCAAGTTTATGTACAATTGTAGGCGAATTTGGCAAAATTTAGGCATTGTATTTGGTTTTATTAATACATAACTAGTATTTAAACCCGTGCAAAGCACGGATCCTAAAAGATTTTTTGCAAATATTTAACATGTTATTAAAATAAAGTATTTTTCTTTAGATATAAAGTATAGTGGTGGAAGTGAATCGAATAATTAATAAACAGTTTGGTTATTATTCGTCTAGATATATAGACCCGTGCAAAACACGGTTTCTAAAAGATTTTCACAACTTGATTGTAGACCTAAATGCAATTCCACAATCTAATCAAACTGTTTAAACCATAAGTATCAATTACCCGTGAATAATGAAATAAACCATTTAAACTCTCGAGCACATCCTTCTGTTTTGAATTGGTGGAAGATCCATTAGCAACTTCCTGTCCTTCAACATAGTTCTCCCACACCTCCAAGCGGAAAAGACTGTATATTAGCAGAAAACAAAGCAAGATAAATGAAGATTTGGAGAATATTTACTGATAGATTACCTTCAGTCTCTGCTATATTGCCGATTGTTCAGCCCGTGCAAGAAGGTGGGCATCTGGAATCCTGACTGAAGCGAAGGAATTTTGAAGCTTTGCCAATCCAGCTTGGAGAAGAGCCACGACCATATTTGTCTTAGACTCCCATAGAGAACCCAGGAAAGTGCCAGCTCTATCAACTGTTTCAACTTCAATCTGTGCAATAGAATTTAGAAAGTTTTTATATAGCATAGAGATTAAGTTAAAACAAACTAACAAATGCAGCATTAGCACCTCTACTTCCCGCTGCATTATCTTCCTTCTCATTAATGCAATAGCTTCATCTGAAAAGGGCTCATCTCGACCTGGGCACCTGACACCAGAGAATGTGAAAGCAATGCTGCAAGTTTCCTTGGGAATAAGAAATTTAAAACGATGTCCACTAAGGACATATTCAACCATAGCGGGAAGCCTTCTAATTTTTTGTAGAAATGGCAAGAAATCTATCGCTTTCTTTGCTGAAGCCTGAGTAAAATAAAAGATTTATATCATGCATACCAAAAAAACTAATTACCTCTCCTAGAGAAAAGTTACAGTTCCTACCGTGTCAGATAAAAATGGGTTATCATATGACCACATAAAATTGGATGCCCAACTGTTAGGTGATGGAGCTAACAAATAAAATGATGCAAATGAATACATACTGTTGCAAATAAAAAGTTGGCCTCAATGTTAGTGAAATAAATAATCAATTCAATGCAAGAGAATCATTAAAAAAAAGAACACACAATGCATTTAATTCATACTGCAATCGGTAAAATCACATTCAACACAACAATCAAAATAATGAAATTTCCCAAATGACAAAAACCCATTTGAGATTTGGATCCAATAACCAAAACCCATTTCTGAAAAAGTAGGATCCGAGAAAGAGAAGCCAATCCCAGTTGAGATCTCCACTCAAATGATAAGAATCTAATTAAATTTACCACAATTCTTATCAAAGGAGTCAGTGTGAAGGATCCCAGAGTATAAAGATCCATCCTTGACCTGAACCTCGACGGGCAAACCCACCATGCAAATGGCAACGTAGAGAAGATACTCATCGTCTCTCAGATTCTTGAAAACCATGATCTTATGCCCCTCTCTTTCTCTCTTTCTCATCAATGATTAAGGTTCAAGTGAAATTTCTTTCATTCTACTGGAAAATTTCGGCAATGGCGAGATCAAGATTAAGGTCTGCTCTCTGTGAAAATGGGGAATGTGTGTGTGTGAGAGAGAGAGAGAGAGAGAGAGAGAGAGAGAGAGAGAGAGAAAGAGAGAAAGGGAGAGAGAGCGTGGAGCGGTATGAGATGGGGGTGCGTCGGTGGGGTGGTTTTCGGGTGGGGTAGTTTTCTCTCTCTTGCAGACTCGGGAGTATTTTTAGGAGGTGGAAGTTATAATGGGAGGAGACCGGCGGAAGTTTAGGGAAAATAAGGCGGAAGAAATGTGGGAGTATAAAAAATGTGAATAAAAAAACTTGATTTACTGTTCATTTTAACTTTTTGATTGTTCTCCTTTAGTTTATAAGTAGTAAATAACAGAACATTTTCCAAGAGAATACTCACAACTATATGGGATAGCGTACAGCACTTTGTGGGTTGAAGAGGATGTAGTTGGCATTTTCTTAAACAAAGGATGGGCTTAAATTAGTCTAGAATGGTTAATATAAAAGTCACAAATTTAGTCAATGCACTCAGGATTGGGCATGTGGAGGTTGTTTGCCACTTTGTCCAACTTATGTGGTGTGGTATGCTGTGTTAACTACTTATTTGAGGAAACGATGGGCGGTTAAATTTGTTTTGCTAAAAATTACAACACATAGATGTAATACTTACAGTATAGGAATTCAAATTTTGGTTTAAGGAGTATTTGAATGAACGTGGAAGTTATTATTTCTTGTAAGTTGTAAAGACCTTGCAAACAAGCATTTATGTGCTGCTAATTATTTTGATCTTTTTAATTTTGGTTGACATCAAGCTGTTTCTGGCATAAAGTAAACTCGTTCATTTGCTTGCATCGGACTAGAATGGTGAACTAAAATGAGAGTGAGTTTGCTAATGTGAAGAATCTGAAGTTCAAGCTCATAATTCCAAAATAGTGGAGATACCGTTGGAAACATATAAGAAAAAATCGCAAGATCCTTGATTTCGCTTCTTTGACGACTCTTCAATTTTTTATGGAAATATGCTCTGATTAATCAAATACCTGACACTTCTTTCTTTATTTTTCTCTGTGTATGTGTGTGTTCATGCATGTGTGCTTTTAGTTTATGTGCAGATGTCAACTAGTTCGCTTTATATTGTCGGACATCTTCCTTTTATGTAGTGTTTGTATCATGTGATGCCATTTTTGAACACATTATTCCATTTGTGAGACTGCTTTGTTCACTGTAGTTAGTTTTTTTAAGCATCCTCATCATTCTAATACTGTAAACACACATAAATATATTTTTATTTTTCCAAATTCACTTGTTGGTTCTATGTCACAATGTCACTGTTGTGTTCCTGTTAACAAATACAACTACTATGCTAGTTGATAAACATATATTTAGCTTTTTTTTAATCGCGCCTTTGGCGCACAGGGGAATCGAACCCAGGCCCCCACGAGGGAGCGACTCGGCTTTGCCACGTAACCTACTGAGTTGCCCAACATATATCTAGTTTTGATTGCAGCATATTTATTGTGTACTCTTGAAGTTCATATGACTTGATATTTGGACAGGTTGGTCCTGTAAAGTTCTCTATGAGCGGGGTGCTTATAGGTACCTACATTAGGATATGGTTTTGTTTTTTTGCTTACTCTAGAATTATTCTACTGAGGAGCAAAATATTTTTCTTGGTTTTGTTCTCTGTGACGCCCCTGTTTTCACACATGACTGCAGTCCAAGGTGAACCCAGAGATGTCAAACTTATCATGCACCCACACTGTGCTACAACACGTTTCACCATCACAGTAATATCTCTCTAGTGGAATCAACAACAAGTGTAGGTAAAAAACAGGCAAAATAAAGAAAATAAATGCATTAGACATGATATATAAAGAGATATCTAATAAATATAATCATGTCTCAATTGAATAAACTATATACAACTGAAGTCTGAAATAAATATGAAGTATCTCAATCTGAGTCAACTGAAAATAAACTAAGACACACAATCTTTACAAGATGAAATATAAAGCTCTAAATGTCCGAAAAAAATATCAACTATAGTGGAGTCTCATCTACTAAAAAGATGTGACAGCGACTATGTTGGAAGTCCGTCATCCTACAACTCTCTGGAACTCTGAGCTGTTGCTTGAAAGGAATTGAAAAATAAAAAGAAAAACAACAAGAGCGTCAGAGCGCTACAACAAGATCATCTTCATCCGCCCCCAGGGGAAGGACTACTAGATGTGATGGAGGCTCTATCTATTAAGCATAGTCTACCTAGATCACTTACCCTGTATCTAAATAGAATTAATATTTAGAAACCTACAATACGAGACGTAGTACGTCGAGCGAAATAATCCAAATAAGGAAACCCTCATGTATATACTATATGTCTCAAATTGTAGATAACTAAATATCAATACCGAACTAAGAATAAACAATCTAAATAGAATTAATAATTAGAATTCACAATACGAAACTGGTACGTCGAGCGAAATAATCCAAACAAGAAACCCTCATGTATATACCATATGTCTCTAATTGTGAATCACTAATTATCAATTCCAAACTAGGAATAAAGGATAGCAATACAAGAAAGTAAAATTATCATAATATCAAACCATAAATATCTTCCACTATCTTTTGAAAGATAATGTAAACAACTATATATAATCCCGCGTACTTACAAGAGTAAATTACCTCGGTCATATTAACTCTGTGATGAGTCATGTTCATAATAGCGTCCACCAAGACTCAGGCTATCAAAATATTATCACAATGCAAATCCTTGTAAAGTTTATAATTCATCGCATTATCATGCGGGACAGACTACCAAATCGGCATCCTAAAAGTGTACATGGCTCATTAGTCTTATTGCATCAACGTGCGGGACGGACTACCAAATCAGGCATCCTAGGTATACGGCTCACAAGCCTCATCGCACCTCCGTGCGGGACGAATTACTAGATCAAACATCCTAAAACCCGACTCAATGGCTTGTACTAATGGTACATCGACGCACTATCCCAAGTAGTACTGAGTGGTGCTCATCAACGATATCCATATATGTATATAATGTTTAAATAACCTATATCCCAAGTGTGGTTAAAAACAATACCTGTAATAATTCTCTCCAGGATATCTGTATGTGCTACAACACTATTCATGTATGCTCATGATTGTACGTGTGTCATCATGCGGCTCGAACCCCATGCTCACGATCAAACGATGCAAAAATAACCACTCAAAAACAAAGAGAACACAGGTCGGTCAACCGCCCTTAGGGCGTCTGTCGACCGAAAGCATGCAACTATGCACACAATGTGCATCCTCAGTTCCTCACCAGTCGACCGGCTAATCTTTTTCAGTCGACTAGTCGATCGACCGACCAGAGAGGAAAACACAAGTTCATGTTTCTAATATTTTGTATTTTGTAACTTTATTTATAAATCTATTTTTATCAACACGAGACATATAACAAGATTAAATCTTTCATAATTACTTAACATGAATTAACTCATCATGATATAAACACTTGAAGAGGAAGAATTTTATATTCTATCTTCAACTGGAAAGGAAACGGGAGAGGAAGAATTTTATATTCTATCTCTCGGTGCTGAAAGAGGAAGAATTTTATATTCTATCTTCAGCTGGACAGGAAACTCGAGGTGGGATCTCCACCCCCAGAATCCGGAAGGATGAAACTAAGAGTGGGATCTCCACTCCGAGAATCGGAAAAAAAAAAAAAATCGGATCTCCCTAACGGTCGGAAGGTTTGATTACTCGATTTGAAAGTGGACCTCTCGTTCATTGGAGGAATCGAGAGGGGATTTTGGCTTTGGTCCTAATTGTAGGAAGGTTTGACCAGAAAGCAAAGGAATACGGGTAGCAAAGAGAGTGCCAACTCGTATTACCACTCAAAGGGAGACTTTAATGCTAGGTGGTTCTGACCTAACACGTTGAGTCTGAGAAACGCCAATGACGGGCGAATGAAAATGTTGGTGGATCCACTGTCGTTTAATTTGATCAGCGGATGGTTTGGTGAGGAAAGATTAACAACTTGAAATTTAATTAACATGTAATATGAAACAAGATTTAAACTTTTATTCATTTAACAGGGGTTAACTCATCATGATATAAACACTTGAATTAAACTAATTAGGGTTTAACATTCTAATTAATCAAATTTTCTCAAATAACCTAATTTATAAATATGGTTAAGTAAACATGATAAATTCTAAATATTAAACAGAAATAAATTTATTTAAACATGCTCATATCACTTAGGTATCATCAACCTAGGTTTAGACCTCTTTAATTAGCAAGAAAACTCAAATAACTATTAAAATAGGGTTTAAACATGATTTAAGCATAATTAACAAGTTAAAATAAAATTAAGTACAACTCTAATGATCATGATCATCAACTTAATATAAACAGCAACTAAATCTATAGATTTTCACATTGGTTTAAAGATTAACATCATAAACTAAGATTTTAAAACATTGGGTTAAGCTTAAATATAAGATTCATCAATTAAAAATCTTAAATCATGAATTAACTACAGGGAAAGGTGTGAAGAGAGATGATCTTTCCTCAAAAGTCGTGTTGAACTCCTAAACACGTGCGTGCAAGATCCCTCTTCACAAAAATCGCAAAATCGCGTATTCCTCTCGACAAACGCCTTAAGAACTCTCCCAAATCACACAAATTATAATTAGGGTTTGAGAGAGAGGAAGAGGGGCTACTAGGGTTTGGAATACTAATGAGAAGAAGTATTTTTCATGTGTAAACATGTATATATAAAACTGTAAACCCGAATCAAAACAGCAAAATAAGGTGATTTAAGATGAGTTGGAAAGATATTGATAATACCTACAACTTTTGTCTTTTGAGTGTTCACATATTTGAACTGTATCGGTGTGTAATGCATATATACTATTAACTGGTTATTTTTCCAGATTTCTTTTTTGTGCATGTTTAACCATTGTATACTCTCATATATACTCTTAATTGATCTCAAATTAATTGTTAGCATAATCATTCATTCATAAATGACAGTCAACATAATTAGTGCTCATTTATAAAATATAATTTATACTATTTTCCAAAATTCACAAAATTT